TTGAGACAGAGTCTCTCTTTGTTGTCCAGGCTAGAGTGAGTGCCATGGCGTCAGCCTAGCTCACAGCAACCTCAAACTCCTGGGCTCCAGTGATCCTTCTGCCTCAGCCTCCCGAGTAGCTGGGACTACAGGCATGCGCCACTATGCCCGGCTAATTTTTTATATATATATCAGTTGGCCAATTAATTTCTTTCTATTTATAGTAGAGACGGGGTCTCGCTCTTGCTCAGGCTGGTTTTGAACTCCTGACCTTGAGCAATCCGCCCGCCTCGGCCTCCCAAGAGCTAGGATTACAGGCGTGAGCCACAGCGCCCGGCCCCATACTGCGCTCTTTGGAAGGAAGTCACTTAAGGAGTAGGGAGTTATGCTGTTCCTAGTGGGCCACATACATAAATTATTGGAATTCTGCATAGGAGATTTGTGTATTCCATTAATTCCATTAATCTGTTTATCTGACTTAGTATGATTCATGGATACTTTATACTTAGAGTTAAAATCTAATTTTCTTTTTTTACTCAAATTGTTCTGGCTTTTGCCATTGAAAGCTTTTTCAGTGGCTCCTATTTCCCTTTGACTTACCCCATCATTGTGTTTTCTTTTGGGGCATAATCTAACTTCCTGGCACTATAAGATGCCTCAGGTTCATTTTCTATATTTCTTGCCAAGTCCTAGAATTAACCATTTCTCTAAGAGCCTTGGCTCCTTTTATTGGTGAAGGTTATCAAAAACCAAGATCTGGGCACTAGGGGTACCCATTGCTACTGGAGTATCATTCTTTGTATGTCTTCTCAACTGACAGAGCAAGTAAATATGTGTGTGTATATGTGTACACATGTATTTATATTTCTTTGTGTAACCATCTGTATCTCTAATAAGTTAAACATGAATTCATACTGATGTCTGCAACTCTAATCCATTACCGTACTACTCATTCTGGACTTCACTTGCTTGTCTGCAACCTCTAATTCAAACAGTGAGAAACATGACTACCACTGTCACCATCCATTTATTTACTTAATTGTTCAGTTCTAGTACACTTGTACAGAAGTTGCAGAATTGTTAACCTGTACCCATGTGGGAAACAACTTTATAAACTAGAATATAGTGATTATGTATAATTCCTTTGCCTTTTGAGATTCATTTCCAGTGTTGTATCATTTAAAAGAGTTTGTAGTTTTATCATTTTAATGAAAAAGAGAATGTCATATCAACTTATCTCTATTTTTGTAAATAAAAAAATCCCTGGACAAACATCCATTCAACAGTTATATGGTATCTACTGTATGTTCAGGTTTGAAATAAGGGATTGGAGTAAATAAAACATGGTCCTCAAGGGCCTTGTCTTTTTATTCTAATTGATTCAGTCTAAACAATAATTTGAGAAGAAATTAGAGAACATTTAATAATTAAAGTCATACTATTCTGTGCACTAGATACTTTATTAGTTATGTTTTTAATTCTTTGAAGCCTGTAAAAACCAAATAAAAACAGTGAATTTTTTTTTTTTTTTTTTTGTTTCTTCGTCGACATCCTATCTCCTCTCTCCACCCCCTGGAGTACTTCGTCCGCAGGCGCAGGCAGTGCGAACCCCCATCCAGATGGGAAAAGTGGGACAAGGGGCGCGGCACGCGGCGCATTCAGAGTGACGACACACTCCAGTCTCTCCACTTATAGTACTCACTTCCGGACGCTTCCTTCGCGGAGCCTTGTGGGTAGGCGGCCGGGGTCTCCTGGCGACGACGATGGCGGGGATGTGGGCGGTCGCAGCTGCACGGACTCGGAATGCTGCTGCATCCGGAGCTGCTGTCTCAGGAGTTCCTTCTCCTCACTCTAGAGCAGGTTGGGTGCGCCAAGGTGGAGGGAGGGCGGACGGTGTGCCTCCCGGGTGAGGCACTCGCACCTGAGGCTCATCCCAAATAGCTCTCGGTGATGACGGACACTCCCGTCGTAGTCATTCCTCCGCTCGGTTGTACCACTCTCCAAACACACAGACCAGCACCGGTGTCCCTAACTCCCGTCCTCATCCCTGACGACAAAGAGACGCCTCCAATATCAGGAATCCTGGAAGTAGGACTTACTCTCTGAGTTTTTTTTTTTTTTTATAAGCTAGGCACCCGTATTCCAGGCGGTCCCATCCAAGTATACAGGCCGACCTGTTAGCTCCGAGATCAGACGAGTCGGCTTCAGGGTGGTGTGGCGTAGACCTCCTGAGTTTGATATGGCTCAGAAAGAGGAGTCTAAGCGCCCCCACGGCCTGTTTTGTGAGCAAGGGCCTGGAGAAGAGAACTGGGAGAAATGAAGAAGAATAGTACGGAGGGTAGAACATGGACGTCAGAGCTGAGAAGCATCTGAGAAATCGTCATTCTACACTCTTACTCGTTTAAAGATGAACTGAGTGAAATTGAGTCCAAAAGATGAAGTGACTCGTTTAAAGTCACACTGTAAATGGTACTGCCAGGATTCACAGCTCTGGCTCTATGTTGCTTTGACTGTTTTTCAGCTTCTGTGGCTTGATAATAGGGAAAATTCAGAAAGAAAGAAAGTGATAAGTTTTAAGTGGCAGAGAATTACTCTGTGCATATTTTATGGCTATATTTTGTTGTTTCATGTGGCTTTCCTGTTAGTACCTATCTTTCTCTAATTTCTTCAAGCCTTCTTGCTAAAGAGATTATTTTACCCTTTGCACTCGCTTGCTTTTTCTCGATTCTTTATTCACTCGGGATTTAATTTTTTTTTAATACCCAGATTTTACAAAGCGTGGCAGTCGAATAAAACGAAGTTTCTTTTCATAAACTTATTTATTTGGATTTTTATATTTCAAATTATTGATACATTCAAAGAGTAATTTTAATCTCTAATTTATTCATGGTGTGATATTTTTTGAAGCATTCACACATGAACATGATTTACATTCACATGTTTTGCAAATATAAACTCGTCTCTCTTCTTCCTCCTTTGATTTTTCTGTTAGACAAACAACACAATCTTTGTGTTTTTTGCTAGGGTGAGGTGTGATTATATGGAGCTTTCTATCTAAACGTTGCTCTAAGTTCAGTGGATAATAATCTACCCCTAAGAAGGTTAGTATACCATCTCTGACTACATTTTACTTGTCCTTTCATGCTAATGAAATAAGAAAAGATACTGGAAAATAGACAAAAATCCCCTTCCCCCCCAGCGATGTAACTACCTGCTCAAGTGTGGCTCGACTTATGCGCTGCTACCGGGATGCTAACCTCATGCCAGTGCAAAGGGTTAATGAGTGTCAGTTACCTTTTAACTGTGGTTCTCAAACTTTTAAGTGTAGCAGAATCACTGCACGGCTTGTTGAAACACAGATTGCTGGCCTCCTTCCCCAGAGTTTCTCATTCAGTAGTTCTGGGATGTGGCCTGAAAATTTTCATTTTTAACCAGTTTTTTATTCTGGTCCAGGGACCACACTTTGAGACCACTTCCCTAAGGCATTGCTTTCCAATAGTAAGAACTGCTGAATCCTCTGGGAATATTGTTCAAGAGAATCCCTAGGGTTTCCCCTACCTCTGAGTAGCGTACGGGGTGAGAATCAATTAGTCAGCCCACTGTATCGGAGAGAAAAGTACGCTTTTAAATTTAAAAAAGCCATGTGCAGTGGTGCAACCTATAGTCCAGCTACTGGGGAGGCTGAGGGCAGGAGGATCACTTGAGACCTAGCGTGAGCAACATAGTGAGACTGAATCCTGAACACACAAAATGAGTTGGCCGGGCGCCGCGTGGCTCACGCCTATAATCCTAGCTCTCTGGGAGGCCGAGCGGGCGGATTGCTCGAAGGTCAGGAGTTCGAAACCAGCCTGAGCAAGAGCAGACCCGTCTCTACTATAAATAAAAGAAATTAATTGGCCAACTGAAGTGTATATAAAAATTAGCCGGGCATGGTGGCGCCATCCTGTAGTCCCAGCTACTCGGGAGGCTGAGGCAGAGGATCGCTGAGCCCAGGAGTTTGAGGTTGCTGTGAGCTAGGCTGACGCCACGGCACTCCACTCTAGCCTGGACAACAAAAGCGAGACTCTGTCTCAAAAAAAAAAAAAAAAAATGAGTTGGGATAAGTTTAATCAAGGACATCACGGTTTTGTCTTGTCATTTTTTACTAAACAAATGTTTTCAAGCGTTTCTGAAGTGAAGAGCCAAACAATCTTCATTCTCCTTCCACATCCAGAACTTTGTTTTCCGGCTCCTGTGCTTACGCTGTGATGTTCCATGATGTTGACGAACAATTGGAAAATGGGGGAGCAATGACGTGTGATTTAAGTAGCAGCACTGGTGTACAGCACTGGCAGCCACTTGAAACGGACCACGTGAACAACTTTGGGCAGCGGCAGGCTGTTCTAATGATGTACTCCACTATCTGTCATCGTAAGGGGATTATATCTTTCATCTTGGTTGCTATCTGATAAGTATTGGTAATTAACATCAATTTAACGAAACATTATATTAAAACACGTGGGAACAGTAACATACAGCGATGCGACCTGAACTTTATCCCACTGATTTAATCACATACTTAGGCTCACAGCGTAGCTATATTGGCAGAAACGTGTCGGTAATTATTATCATGTTCTTCTTTAGAGTTTGTTGTACCCGGGCAGTCCCCATTTTCATTCCCTTTTCTTTTTTGAGACAGGGTCTCACTGTGTTTGCCTGGGGCTACGAGTGCCGCTGGCGTCACGTCTAGCTCATAGCAACTCAAACTCCTTGGGCTCAAGGCATCCTACTCGCCTTCAGCCCCGAGTACGCTGAGGACTACAGGGCATGCACACCATGCCGGCTAATTTTTTTTATATATATTTTTTAGTTGGCCCAATTATTCTTTATAGTAGGAACAGGGTCTCACTCTTCCTCAGAGCTGGTTTCGAACATCCTTGGCTCGCCAATCTTTGCCCGCTCCGGCCTCCCGAGTGCTAGATTACAGGCGAGCACCGCCCCA